GTCCTCGCTGGCTCGACCCCACCCTCATGTGAGGGCTCCCGGAGTCTCAGGGGCTGACAGCGATGTGGGGGTGTGATCTTACCGCGTTTTAAGGGTCCCTAGAGGGGCTTGGGGTTCATCTCCCCCTCAAGGAAGGGGCTGTTTGCAAGGTGTCCGGGGCACACAACACAAGTCACCTGAAAGTACTCCTCCTGGGCTGTGCACACGCGCGTGGGTGCACCTCTAAGGTCCCCTGCGTGTGTGCACAATCCCTTAGGGGTTCCCAGGGGCCAGCTGCTGAGAGGGCACCTGGTTGAAGTACCTCTCCCAGGTACCTCATCCAAGGGGGGAGATGCAGGCTCCACATGCCCAGCACCTCCCCCTCCTCCGGGTGACCCATGTGTAAGTCCAGGAATCTGGGTCCGGGGCCCAGCGGGAAGGGAGGCTGCAACGCCAGGCGGCACAGCTGTGTGGCTCCCGGGGGCCGTGTGATCGATGATCCCGGCAGAGCTGCCTCCGCGCCTGAGCCCACACACCCATTTGTCATCCCATCTTGGGGGAGCAGGCTGGGCAGGGAGCAGAGGGCTCCCAAAACAGGTCACAGGAGCCCTCAGCCCTTTCCTGCTGTCCAGTCCCGCCCGCACCTGGAGTGGTAATGTCCCACTCCAGGATGTGGACAGGTACAGACCCACTCAGCCAGCCCTGCCTACCAGTCCTCCACTGCCCGTCCTCAGCTGTCCCCACAGCAGGGTGACTGGGGGGGAGGGGGGGAGCAGCAGGAAGGTCATGGGCCACCTGCAGACTACCGTGAGCCTGGGACCAGGTGTGGAGTGTGGGGGTTTCTGAGGACATCTGGGGAGCCAGTTCAAGTGTGTACCTTTGTCCATGTGTCCTCAGGGGTGTGTGTGTGTGTCTATGACCATGTATGAACAGGTTAAGTATGTCTGCATATGTGGGGGTGGGGTGAGTATGCCCATGCTCATGCATGTATGTCGTGGGGGGGTGTCCATAATCATATGTGAGTTTGAGTGTGTCTGTGTGGTACTTGAGTTTGTATGTATGTCTATGACCATGTGTGTGCCTATGTGCTGTGGGAGCCAGTGTACCTCTCTGTGTGTCCTCAACCATGTGTGTTTGTGTCTGTGTGATGTTTCCTTGGGTGTGTCCATGACCTTTTGTGAGACCATGTGGATATTTAAGGGGAGTGTGTGTGTGTGTGTGTGTGTGTGTGTGTGTGCTGGGAGTAGTAGTGTGCCCCAATGGGATGTGAGCGTGTGTGTGATTGTGTGTGAGTGTGTTCTGGGAGCATCCGTGTGCCCCAATGGGGTGTGATTGTGTGTGTGTGTGTGTGTGTGTATGTGAGTGTGTTCTGGGAGTGTCCATGTGCCCCGATGGTTGTGTGTGTGTGTGTGAGTGTGTGCTGGGAGCATCTGTGTGCCCTGATGGGGTGTGATTGTGTGTGTGTGTGTGTGTGTGTGTGTGCTGGGAGCATCCATGTGCCCCGATGGGGTGTGATTGTGTGTGTGTGTATGCTGGGAGCATCCGTGTGCCCCGATGGGGTGTGATTGTGTGTGTGTGTGCTGGGAGCATCCGTGTGCCCTGATGGGGTGTGATTGTGTGTGTGTGTGTGCTGGGAGCATCCGTGTGCCCTGATGGGGTGTGATTGTGTGTGTGTGTATGTGAGTGTGTGCTGGGAGCATCCGTGTACCTTGATGGGGTGTGAGTGTGTGTATGTGTGCACCCCCTGCCTCGTGCCCTCTTGGGTGAGTGGCTCTACACTGCCTCAGCCGACAAACATTGTACAATGGTGCGCACTCCCCAATGCCGCACGCATACACTGTGCTCTCTGCAGGCTCTGGAAGGGCAGGAGGGCAGCCCAGGTGGTCGCGCAGATGGTACTTGGAGCGGCTCTGAGCACTGGTGGGCGGGCATGGGGAGGAGGCTCTCGGCCCAGTGCGCGCGCTGTAGGACTCATTCCCTGACCTGCCCAAAGCTGCCCAGATGGAGCCAGGCTGAGCAGGTGGCTGTGCATGGAGACTGAACTGTGACGTCCACTCCCCCAGCCTGACTGGGCCCCATGTGTGGCCGAGCCCCACAGAGCCCACCAACCACCATGTAGGACCACAAACCTGTGTATACCCATACACACTCACAACATGTGCATTCGCACACATAATAAACAAACACAACCCACACAGACACATCTACACATACATACAGTACCCGTGTGTGCACACACATACACCATCTGCCTCATCAAGGGTTACAAATGTTGGAAACCCCATGGAGCTGTTTGCCTCTGTCCTGTAGGGAGTTATGAATCGCAATTGACTTGAGGCAGTGGGTTAGACCCAATGTATAAACACATAATAATACAGACACAGGTGCACATACATATACACAATGTATGCACACATGTACATATGAGGAGAGTTCAAAATGTTTGTGGAAAACATGGAATTAAAAGATAATGGAACTTTTCATGACATTAAAAAAAAACAAAACTTTCTATTGTGAATGGGTGAACATCCATGAATTTTTAGACACCCCCTCATAGACATGTATAAACACACACATACAACACATGCACACATGTGCACACACGTATGTCGACACACAGCCATAGCTGCTGTCCCTCCGAGCTCTGAACCTTCAGCTATTTCTCCTCTGGCTGCTTCTATCTCACTCAGCTCGTGGCTGCGCGGGACTGAATAAGGCTGGGCTCTGGGTCTCTGTGGATAGCCACCCCCCGACCCCGGTTAGGGCCTTTATCAATCAAGGGGCCCTAGTCTCTCAGAACTCATGGAAAGACTAGGGGGCATTGGGGAGACGGTGTGAACTGAGTCACCCCAGAAGTGGGCTTGTGGGGGTGGCAGAACATATGGTGGCATTTAAACTCTAACCTATAGCAAACAGTTCTAGGGCACATGCCAGGCCTTGCACTGTGATCGTAGCGAGCAGGACTGGCTGGAATCTTGCATTGGGTGACTGGTAACCCTTAGCACATGTGGGAAAAGGGGACCTGAAGGACCGAGTGATCCGCTTCTGGGGAGCCTGGAGCAGTTGAGGGGAGGGGTTGGAGGTGGTGCGTGCTGACCTCAGTCCCTGTCTGCAGGTGGCCATGGTGGCTGGCCCAGCCCGCTAGCAGGCCACCATGTCCCGTGAGGCGGGTGTGTGGCGTGGGGGCACGGGGACACGGGCACGCAAGCCCAAGAAACCGCACTACATCCCCCGGCCATGGGGCAAGCCGTACAACTACAAGTGTTTCCAGTGTCCCTTCACCTGCCTGGAGAAGTCCCATCTGTACAACCACATGAAGTACAGTCTCTGCAAAGACTCCTTGTCCCTGCTCCTCCACTCCCCAGACTGGGCCTGCCGCCGCGCCCCCACCTCGTCCCAGCCCGATGCCACTGACACCCCCACCGGAGCCAACCTCAGCGTCCCCAACACCTTCTCCCTGCACCACTTCGACGGAGGCCCCAAGCTGAGGGCTGAGAGGGCTCCGGGAACACTGCCCACCGCCACCAGGGCCTCCAGCAAGGGCCTGAGCTCCAGTAGGCTCTTGCCCAAGTCATGGAAGCCTGGAGCGGGTGGGGACACGAGGAGTAGGGCCATGGGGGACGTGACTGCCGAGGGTCCTGAGGGCCCTGCCCTCTGCTACCCACCCCCCCACTTCAGCGAGTTTCCTGAGGCCCAGAACTTCCCACCATCACTATTGGGAATTAACTATCAGCTCAGCCCAGGACTCTTTCCCTACCTTGGGTCCTCCCTGGCCACTGCCCACATGCCCCTCTTGGCCTCAGCCAGCCCCCTACTACCCTCAACCCCTGCCTTTCCAGCCCCACAGCCCTCGGAACGCCCGACCCTGGCCCCCCGCCTTTACTACCCATTGTTCTTGGAACATAGTCTGAGGCTGCCAGTTGGCAGAGCCGCCCCCACCAAGCCTCCCATGGCCCCCAAGGGGGCCCATGGGACTCCGGCCACTGGGGTGCTGAAGGTGTCTGTAACCAGGGCGGGGGGATCTTGGCCCTGTGGCCCCCCGAGGGATCCAGGGCAGGAGGGGGAGCTGGAGCAGACTGTGGAAGAAAGCCCGAAGAGGAAGCTACCCCTGAGAAACAAGCTGGAGTTCCAGAAGATTCCAAGCTTAGCCAAGTTTGGTTACCAGAGGAGGTGGGTGTCAAGAGCCCCGATTCTGGGGAGAGAGGGCCCAGTCCACCTGTGTCTCTGCGCCCCCATCCAGTCGGTAGCCTGATCCAGGAAGTTGAGGCTGGGACTCGGGTAACCTCCTGACTCACTCTTCACCCCTAGCCTGCCGCCTGGTCCCCCAGCAATGCTCTGGAGAGAAGACAAAGAGCCCTTGGACACAGAGACTCCAGTCCAGCCGCTGCGAAGTCTGGGACCTGGTGGCCCTGGGCGCGTGGGGGAGGACTTGACCCAGGCCCTAGGTGACTATGTACATGTGGAGCAGCTGGTGCCTTCGGGTGGCCTGGCCCCACGTCCCCTTCAGGAGCAGTTGGGTAAGATCCGCCAGGAGCTGCTGCACATACACCGGGCTTTGGAACGTGCTGTGCACCCCTCTGACGCGCCACTCGACCTCTCTGTGAAACGGGGGTCCATCAAGGGGCCTGAGCCACCTGCAGGAGCCTGGGGGGCGCCTGAGTCGGTGCCTCCACTTAGCCAGGGGACTCCTGAGCTGCCCTTCTCCAATCACACCACTAAGTGTGAAGCTGACTCCAGCGTCCCACCCCCGGGCCTCTCCCTGCCTGTCTGCGAGGATATCACTCCCTGTGGTGGGTGGAGCACCCTCGGTGCTGCAGGGGGCTCCCGGGCCCCTGAGGCTGTCCCTAGCTTGCAGATGCCCCGGGGTGCTGAGGTGTGACCCTTCACCAGATGCCCTGATACCCTACTGTCCACAGCTGCCCACAGAGTGTATCCCCGCCCTGCCCCTACCCCCAAAAGGGGACCTGTCTGGCCTCAGCATGCATCTTGACAGACCACCCACGGGGCCCTCTAAGGGACATGGGGGTCACCATTTATTGCTCACAGTCCTGGATGTTGAAATAGAAACCACTTCACCCACCCTCTGGCCTTCTCCTTCCAACACCAGACGTGCCCCCTTATAGCAAACAGGTGGGGTTCCCAGGTGGGCTGGGCCCCTGGGTGTTGGGGTCCCCTGGGTGTCCCCACATATAGACTATGTCCCTGGGTGGGTTGGGCCCCTAGGAGGTGGGGTCCCTGGGTGGGCTGGGACCCTGAGAGGTGGGGTCCCCGGATGCACGGTTTCTCCTGGCAGGCTACTGGGCACCCATCTCTGGATTCTCAGGTTCTCTGGAGAGGTCTGGTGAGTCAGGGAGGGTTCAACCTCGGCATCAGTGTTGGACATTTTCCTGGGAAGGCTTGTTCAGTCTGTGGGTGGTGGGGTAGGGATGCCTCCAGCCCCTATCATAACAGAGCTTGAGTCCAGCTGGAGGCTGCCCCCGTCCCAGCTCCAAGGCCTGGCTGCTCCATGTAGCGTGGCTGTGCTGGACCCCCGCCAGCCTCTACGGTTACCATGGGTCCTGGTGGCCTTCACAGCTGGCTGCCTCCAGCCAGGCTTAGACTGGGGGGTGGTAATAGGGGGTGGCACCCAGGAACCCTGGGGCACAGTTGATCCCCCTGTCCCCGGGGAGCTGGGCCACACCCACCAAACCCACCCTGGACTGGCCCCTGGAACCTTCTCCTGGTTGTGCCTGCTCCGGGAGCTGGGACTGGGCTGACCAGGTTGGGGCCAGTCTGCACAGGATGCGGCTGCCCCATTACCTGTGATAACATCATGCCTGCCCCCACCTAGAGGCGTCTCATCTCAGGTGCTGGGGAGCCAGGGGAGGGAGACTCGGGGCCTCAGACAGGCCATGGGCAGTGCCAGGCGGGCAACCTGGATGGTGGGCTGGTCTGCCAACACCCTCCTATGCCTACTGCCTCCATTGTCTTGGAAATCTACGTGCCCCCTGGGCAGACGGGTCTGCACTCCACTCTTCTCAGACAAAGGCTCCTTACCCAGTGACTCAACTGAGGGAGATGGGACAGTCCCCAGTAGCCCCATCTGTGATAGCGGGTCAGTGGAGGGCCAGCCCCTTCTCTACCAGTGTGTGAGCACAGGAGTGGGTCAGAGGGGCCATGGGGAGCCATCTGAGTAAGGTGTACGGGCTCACCTGTAGGAAGAGGGGGATATCCAGGGCCAGGACAAGGCAGTGCAAAGGCCCCGAGGCAGCACTGGGGACCTGGGGAGGTGAGCAGCCAAGTGGCACAACCCAATCGTCCATTTTACATCTTCCTTTGGGAGCTGCTCAAATGTGGCTGCTCCCTGAGCCTGCCCTGCTCCCCACAGTGCTCATGCCCCCGCTGCGTCCCTGTCCCTGTGGGAACCTGCCCGAGCTCCTCCCTCCCTTAGGCTCCTGCTTCCAACAACAGAGGCTCCAGGGCCTTTCAGCCTGGGGACCAGGGAGCTGGCTCTAGGTGGGAGATCTCCCCAACCCCTTGGGGGGCAGGCAGGAAGGTCCACCTGTGAGGTCCTGGCTGTGTGTGTGTGGGTGGCCACTCGCCCCATGAAAGGTCACTTTCCTCGAATGAAGGAAGAGTTTGAGAAACATGACTAATCGGTCACTTCTCTGCACGGGACACTTGGATGCCATGTGAGAGGCAGAATTCACAACTCTCTCCCGGGTCCCACCTGTTTCATGGATCTGAGGAAAGGGTGTCGCTGAGCTCAGGGACTGGACCAGGACTCGGAACCTGGATGAGCTGAGTTCCAGCTCTGACTTGGATGGTTCCTGCCCATCGAGTGGGAAGGAGGCCAACCCCCTGGGACACAGACAGGACTATTCTGCCACGGGAACTGGGCCTACATTCAGGGCTTGACTCCATCCTGGGAGCCTCTGCCAGCAGCTGAGCTGTAAGACCAGCGCTGAGAAGAGCGAGCCGTCCACCTGCTGGCCTGGACTGCCCGACCGCCACCCACCCTTGACTGCATCTCATGCTGGACTGGCCTGGAGGCCCCGCCCCCACCCAGTGGCCCCAGCTGCTGGGGCTGAACTGCCTCCACACGCCTTGTGATCTGCCGCGTGCCCTGCCTTGCACTGGGGGCTGGGGGCTTTGTGGCGGAGGATGTGGCTGGTACTCATGGTGGTCAGTGACCTAGTACAGGGGATGGGCCAGGCCCCTCAGGGCTGCTGGCTGACCGTGGACACCTCCCTGTCTCTCTGACTGCTGGCTGTGGATACCTATGGCAGACTGAGCGTCCTGGGACAAGCAGTTTCACCCTGAGCCCTGCCTTTGAGTCCTTGGCTCCCACCTCTGTGAGTGAGGGGTGTGGGATCATGTGACTGTTCTGCAGCACCCATCATCCTCAGGACAGCCTCAATGCCCCAGGGCCAGCTCCCTGGAGAAAGGGTCACGGCTGCATCAGTTGGTGACCTCTGAACATCTCAGGCTGACTCACCCCTCACCCAGGAGGACTTTATCCAAAACCACACATAGGCTTCCCCCCTCACCTTCCTCGCCCCTCCACAGCTTCAGTTCAGGAGCAAGCCTCACCCAAGAAGGCCTGCAGGCCAGCCACTGCCCTAATCAGACCACCTCAGGCAGGAAGGGTGCGGTTGGGTTGGGAGGGCTTGGTGACTTCAGCAGGGATCAGCTCTGTGGTATCCCCCAACATCAAAGGCACCCAGGGCGCCAAGCCTTAGCAGCTTCTCTGAGGTGGACAGAGGTAAGGGGGGGGGGGCAGCGGGCAACAGGGAGGAGAGGCCCTGCAGGTCCCAGGAGGGGCACATGGCCAGGTTTGGAGACCCAGTGTGCCTTCTCTTATGTCAATGGAGGCTAAACAACTTCAAGCCACAATACTCCACCAAGGGACAGGGGGAAGGCGGTGGAGGTTCAAGGGACACCCAGGAGTGTTCTGTGGAGGTCCAGGCAGGATCCTGGTTCTAGGCAGAAGAGCCAAGGAGAGGCTGTACCTGGTTTCTACAGGGTCAGGTCACTGGGGTCTGTGGCTTCGGCCATGTCTCCATGGGCTCCCCAAAAGTTCCCAGCCAGCAGGAATGCAAACATATAGTAGTTCTCAATAAAGTTACCTGTTTCTAACGAAGGTGGAGTACCGTAACCTACAGCAAGGGTAGCTGCTGTCCCTCCTGATAGCCGATGGTAGCAGCATTCCTGGGGTTCTCTCAGGCCCCAAGGCCGGCTGGTGTGGCGCTGTGAGTTAATGTGCCAGACTGAAAAGCCGTTTGAACTGCAAGGTCGGCAGTTCAAGTTCACCAATGCTCCTCGGAAACCATGTACAGGGTTACTATGGGTCGGAATCGACTCGACGTCACTTAACAACAACAAGGCAGGCTATGTGAACTTGGGGGGCCCTCTGCCGGAAGCTATGGGAGGGGGCCAACCTGGGCCTAGGGGGTCTTGGGTGCTTTGGGGTCAAGGATCCCAGGCCAGACCCACTCTGTCGTCAGACGGCACTCCCTCGTCTCCCCTCGCAGAGCTCACTAACTTCCTCTTTGAAGGACAGATGAGGCGACCCCACTTGATAGTGAATATCACCTTCTGTTCATTGTCAGATTCGCCCCGCCCGTGCCACAGATGCAGAAGCAGGGCTCAGGGAATTCGGCGGCCTCAGGGACCGGGATCGGGAATGCGAGAGCAGGGTCTGCAGTGCGTGCAGGGGAGAGAGGGTTATGTCACCGCTCCGGGCGGGAACGTGGCGCGCGCGGAACGCTCGGGAGCGGCCGGCGGGCAGCCCGGGCGTCTTTGGGAGCAGGACCGTCGCCCGGCAACAGCAGAGCCGGCGGAAATGGGGCTTGTGTCCCACAGCGCGGCTACGGCGGGGCCGGGGGTCGTGAACGCCGCCCTCCGCCCGGGTCCGCCCAACGTGGTGCCCAACCCTATTCCGACCCCGCCGCCCGAGGGCGCAGCCCCGGGGAGCAGCCGGTGAGCAGAGGGGATGAGTAGGTCCCGCGGTGTGACCTTGGGGTCAGCGGGTCCCGGACACCCTGGCTTCGGCGGAGGGGAGGGGGCGCAGACGGCCTCTCCGAGCCTCCGTGTCCTCCTCGGTAGAATGGAGTCGACACCATCAGCTGCTCAGCAGCCCTGAGATTGAAGGACGAGGGAGAGAGGGTCCCAGCAGCCTTTCCGCTAGAGCCGGTAGGCGCTCTAACGGGGTGCCCCCAGCCGTCCTGTGGTGGACCCTTAGGAGGGGGCTCTCAGGGCCCACGAGACCGGCCGTCCTCACTTTACAGTTGTCCCGATGTACAAAAAAGGGCAGAAAACAATCATAAAATTACACCCCGTCTGAGACGGTGGAGGAAGTATTGTGTACAGAATGATTTGAAAACATACACAACCGGGCAGAAGACGAGTTCTTGTAAGCTCCTGAGGAGCAGTGGACATGGAGGCTCCCGGGAAGAGGGGAGGGGTCCCTGGCCAGTCCTAACTGGGCTTTTCCTGGGATCTGTTGGTGCCACGCGGGAGGGGCTGCCCTCTGGACTGCAGGTCTGTCGGGCAGAGGCAGCGCCTAGATTTCTTTCCCGGGCTGCTGGGGGCGTGGGCTGTCTTCACAGGGTCTCGTTCCTCAGGCGGGTGCCCGTATCTGTATCCCAGCGTTTAAAGATGCTCACGTTTCCCGAGTTCCTGACCGGCTGCTGCTGCTTTCTCCCATCCTGCACTCCTCTGCTATCGATCTTCCATGGGCTTTCATCTTTTCCTTCTCTGATCCCCGCAGCTGGCAAGCGAGCCAGCTCTCCTTTTGTGCTTCCTGCACCCCCAGAGGCTGAAGTCGGGGATGGGATGGGAATCTGCCCGGTAACTGTTGAAGACTTCTTTCTCCCCACCCCCAGATAAGACCGAACATCAGCTTCCGAGCACCAATCTTTTCCTCATCTCAGATGCAGGAGCCTTTATTTTTTTTCTTTTGGTAAAATTTCTTTTATAGGAAGCCCAGTATCCACAAAGGAAGTGCAGGGTTCACAAGGCGGTGGGACGGAAAAACCAGCTCCCCAAGACCGTGGTCTTGAGGCCATCTGAGTTTCTAGTCTGATTTAGACCTCAGGCACCAAGTCTGGAGGGGTCTCCTTCGCTTGGCCTGGAGGATTGCCTCGCAGCTCTGGGGAAGGGTCAGGGAGAGATGTTTGGTCATTGATGGTGGCCACAGGGGCTGGTGTCCACCCACTGCCTGCCCTCTGTGGTCATTAGGCAGCCCCACCCAGAATGCCTCCTTTCTGGTAGAAACTACATCCTTGAGAGACCCTCCCAAGTTGGCTGACAGGCCCAGATGCTCCCAGGTCCTGGTCTGAATGACACATAGATTGTGTCTGTCAGCCCCTCTGCAGGATGGGAGGTGGAGGGAGAGAGAGAGTGTGCATGAGGCACACATGTGTCTGCGTGTCCTTCAGTCCCTCCTGAGCACCAGGACGGGGGCCAGCTGCAGCACGAGGGTGGAGGCCCTACTCAGGCTCTTTGCTCTTTGCAATGGGTGCCTTCCACCGTAGGGTCCTCCCGGTGGGCTGCTGTCTCAATGCAGAAGGGCTTGCCGCTGAAGGGTCCACAGGCTCACGTGTTGGCTGGAGCAGGCTCAGGGCTCCCTAATTCAGTCATCAAGACTGCTGCAGGAGGCTTCTGGATGAGACTGGGGGGAAGCAGTGTCTCGTGTCTCAGCTTGAGCTTCTGGGAGAAATGGCCCCTTTCTCCAGACCCCCAGGGACCTGGGAGCCTCCCACTCCTGTTTCTGGAGTGTTCCATCTAGGAAAGCAGGCAGACCGAGGACTGCACCCTTAAGGAGGTGCAGGCCACACTCACTGGTGGAGTAGTGGTCAGCATTGAGGTGCGAGACCCCCAAGTGCAGAGGCAGAGGATTGGCCTGCATCCTTGGGGCCAATGGTGAACAAGTCATGTGAGCTGCCCTAGGTGGGTGTGCTGCATGGACGGTGACTTACTGGCCACATGCCTTGGGCAGCCCAGGCACAGGTGGCAACTGATGTGGGAGCCAGGATGGGACATTGATGAGAGTCCAGAGGGGCAGCGCTTTGTTGGCCCACTGAGGAGAGTGGTAGGTGTGCAGGTCCATCCGCTGCCCCAAGTGGCCCTTGGCTGTCTCGGCCCCTTGGTGCCACCTGGCCAGTAGCAGAATTGTGATTGAGGCCCCCTCTCTTCCAGGGTCCCTGGCATGGTGTTCAAGGTCTTCTTCCCCACGTGCTGCACGTCTGCGGACAGCGGGCTGCTGGTGGGGCGCTGGGTCCCAGAGCAGAGCAGCGCAGTGGTCCTGGCTGTGGTGCATTTTCCCTTCATCCCCATTCAGGTCAAGGAGCTTCTGACCCAGGTTCAGCAGGCCAGCCATGTGGGTGTGACCGTGCTGGGCACCTGGTGCCATCGCCGGCAGGGGCCTGAGGAGGGCCTGGGCCGTTTCCTGGAGGGACTGGGCACCATCTTCTCTCACGATCCCTGGCTGCAGCTGTGCCGACAGCGGGGTGGCACCTCCTGGAGCTGTAAGGCTGTCGGGCAGCCCATGTCCCCTGGTGTGCCCAGTGATGACCAGGTCCTGCTGGTCTTCTATGACCAACGCCAGGTGCTACTGTCACAGCTACACCCACCCACAGTCTTGCCTGACCGCCAGGCTGGAGATGCCCCGGCCAGTGCCGGGGGCCTGGCTGCCGTCTTCGACACGGTGGCCCGTAGTGAGGTGCTCTTCCGCAGTGACAGGTTCGACGAGGGGCCTGTGAGGCTGAGCCATTGGCAGTCAGAAGGTGTGGAGGCCAGCATCCTGGTAGAGCTGGCCAAGCAGGCCGCCGGGCCCACCTGCATGCTCGTCAGCTGGCTGCTTTCACTCCTCTCAGCTGTTAGCACCTGCCGGTGGGTGCCTGGAGAGGGGTGTGGAGGCAGAGCTTGGCCCACACTGGGGCCCTTCCTGGGGTAGAGCCAGGCAGGTGGACCCGGGGAGGGGAATGGGTCCTGAGAGTGAAGGCCGACGGTAGACGCAGCATCTGCCAGCCTGTAGCTTAGGAAGTGGCTCTGAGCTCAGCTGCTAGGCCAGCAGAGAGGGACCAGGGCTGGGCTGCAGGTCTCTATCCTGGTACAGCTGGGGGGTGGGGGGCAGCTGTGACAGAGCCCAGGCTCTCAGTCCACAGGAACTTTCCTTGTCCCCTCCAACACCTGCCTGCCTCCGGGGATCCCTCCCTGTGTCCTGGAGACAGCTGTGTGCTCTGTACCAGGGAGCAGAGCATGTCTCTGCTGAGGTGTTTCTGGGGGAAACGCTCCTCAGAAGACCCAGGAAAGTCATAGGGTGTGCCCTGAGGGTGTTGTCACGGTGGTAATGTTTAATGTTTTGTGCTACAAGCTGTCGGCACAGGAAGAACCCCGTGGCCTTATGCCTTCGCCAGGACAGCCCCGACCTCCACAAGGGTCTCTCAGCAGCGCTATGCTGGTTGGCTTCCTCCTGGCTTTGAGGGGAGGGTCACTGCATACTCTTCACCCCTGGTCACTCTGCCAGAGAAGAAGACTTCAGAATCTTCTGGTCAAGCCACCCCCACCTACCCCTATTCCCTGGTCTGAGCACACAGTGGGTTGGCGGTTCTGCCTGTTCTGTGTGACTTTTAGTTCCCTCACCTCCAGCCGGCTCTCCCCTCATCTGCAGACTGTTCCGGTTGTGGCCACTGTCCTTCATCTGCAGCAAGCTGTCCACCTGTGAGCAAGTCCGGCACCGGCTGGGACACCTTTCTCTCCTCTTCAGCATTCAGGGTGCTGAGACCCCTGCCCAGCTGATGAGGTGCCGTCCACATTCATCTCGGGCTGAGAGCTAGGGGCCCCCTCATGCCCACCTCGGCCACTCTCACCGTCTGTCTGGCCCCCAGGAAAGCCAATGTGTTCGTCTCCGTGTTACTGGATGTGGCCCTTGGCCTGATGCTGCTGGCCTGGCTCCATGGGAAGGACCACATTGGGCAGCTGGCTGACACCCTTGTCCCCGTGGCTGACGTGAGTGGGGTTAGGGATCTCTGCTGTGTTAGTTCTCCCTGTCCGAGGACTGGCCTTGCTCAGTGACCCCAGGAGCCATGGACACATCCCCTACGAACCCACCCCATCCCCAGCAAGACCCAGTCTGCTCTCCTGGCTCTGGTGTGTCTAGGCCTTTGGGCTCAGGGTGGGGGAAGGGTCTGCTTCACAGCCCATGAGCCCCCACAAAGATCAGGAGTACAGGAAGGGCTGAGGAGGGGCTTGACAAGCCCACCTGCTTGCCTGCGCTTGGTGTCGGGACATGTCTCCTGACCTTCCTTTTACAAAGTGCTCAGGAACATAAATATTTCATTTAAAAACGAAAGCGTCTTCCTGCTGCCGGCATACCCTTTAAATATTAAACAAGCTCTATTTATAAAGAACGTTCTACCTTCTCCGCCGCCAAGGCTGTGTCTGATGTGGCCACGAGGCCTGAGCGTGGCCAGGAGCAGCGGGCAGTTGAGGAGGGCTCACAGATGGGGCGGGGGCTCACTACTTGGCCCTGAGCTGCTTGCTTTTGGGCAGCCACCACAGCTCTCGTGTGCTTCAAAGGTCTCCACTCTGAAATCCTCGTCTGTCCTTCTCTTCTGGAGAGTCCTATCCTGCTGCCTGGGCCTTGGACACCTCGTGACCATGTGGGCTACCGGGGCAGAGGAGACTCCCTGGGAGTGAGGTCTGTCTAGGTTAGCAGTCTGGCTCAGCGGCCAAGGGTGAGGGAAGCAGAGGGACACCTGGGCACTGTGAGTCCACTGCGGACTCCTGGCTAAAACAGGTTCAGAAAGTCTCCCAGCCCTGTTGCCCTACCTGAGTCCCAGATGCCCCACTATGCAAAGGGCTCCTTGACCAAGGGGACTGGCCAGGGTAGGGCCTGGGTCCCCACCTCCACTCACTTGTCCCATGGTTGTAGCGTGTGGCTGAAGGTCTTCAGCACCTGCTACAGTGGCTGATGGGTGCACCTGCTGGACTCAAGATGAACCGGGCACTGGACCAAGTGCTGGGCCGGTTCTTCCTCTATCACATCCACCTGTGGATCAGTGAGTACCTGGGGGGAGTGAGGTAGGGCTGTACCATGTCCACCTGTGGGTCAGTGAGTACCTGGGGG